TCTTTAAACCTTCAAGCAGCAATGAAGCATTGATTTGTATGGAAGTATTTCACGAGAAGGAAATGTGTGAGGTGGGGTTCGGTTTTGAAGTCGTTGGTCTTTTTATTTTTATTTTCATTGTTTTAATAATGCCGGTGGTCTCAACCGCTGATGAGTTCAGTTTGTTTTTTATAAGTTGTTTCTTTCTGGTTGTGTTGGGTTTGAGTTTTCTGAATTGGAATAAAATGGTTTCTATGGTCTCATGGCTGTTTTGGCTTCGTCCTTTGTGGATTATCTTTATTTTGTTTTGGACTGGTGTTGTTATTGAAGTTGTGCCTCATGAGTTCCAGAAACGGGACGGGGAAACATATATTTGGCAAAAGCTATTGGATGTCTTTGTTTATTCTCGAGGCTGTCTGGCCCTGGTCTCATTAAACCAGGTACACAGAACACAGAGTGCTGCGAGATGGATATGGATGTGGAAGCAAGAAGTGGTCTTTATTTGGATTCCATATGGATTGGGGTCTGGTGGATTTTACGGTTCTCTTGATGAGCACATTATCGGTTTAAGGCCAGTGTCGTTGTTACAGAAAATAAAGCTTGGAGTTACGTTTCGTCATGAGGCGGAGATTGGTTATGGTACTGAAATCAAGCTTCTATATGCAGGGATCTTTATGATATATACACAGGCTGCAGTGTCTAATATGTCTACTTTATGGATTGTAAAGAAATTGGTCAATGGTAAATTTTGGAGTAATAATAGTAAGAGATCAGATATCTGCAAATCTGCCTCTTCAGCCCGTCAGGGAACACAATTGTTTTTTAAATGAGAGTTTTAAGTTGGAATTGTCGGGGAATGGGAAGTAAATGGACGATTAGCTTTCTTAGAGAAATATGGTATAAGAACAAACCGGACTTCTTATTTTTGGCAGAGACTAAACAACAGGCTTCTTATGTCCAGGATTTTCAAGCGCACTTAGGCTATGATTCTCTGGTTACGGTTGAGCCGGTTGGACGCAGTGGTGGATTAGCTTTATTTTATAATAGGGATTATCAGATTCAAGTATTGTATACGAGTAATCGCATGATTGATGTGGAGGCGGTAATGATGGGAAAAAGAGTTTTTCTAACCTTTGTGTATGGGGATCCAGTTGTCAACCAACGGGAACAAGTATGGGAAAGATTGACCAGATACGGGCTGGCAAGATCGGAACCATGGTTTATTATTGGGGACTTGAATGAGATTACGGGGAATCATGAAAAGGAGGGAGGAACATTGAGATCGGCGGATTCATTCTTACCTTTTAATAATATGATTCGACATACGGGTCTCCTTGAATTCCCAGCCCGGGGAAACACGATGTCATGGCAGGGAAGGAGGGGGACAGGAATAGTGCGTTGCAGGCTTGATCGAGCTCTGGCAAATGAGGAGTGGCATTCATTGTTCCCCTGCTCTTATACCGAGTATTTGGGCATGGTGAGTTCTGATCATAGACCAGTAGTAGCTTTTTTGGAGGATAAGATTACAAGACGTCAAGGACAATTTAGATTTGATAAGAGGTGGATAGGGAGGGATGGTTTTTTGGAATCAATCGGCAGAGGATGGGTGATACAAAGAGCGGAGGAGGGGACTGATTTTGTTACTAAAATTAGTAACTGTCGTCACGAGATAGCAAAATGGAGGAAAAATAATCCCCCTTTTGGAAAACAAAAAATCAGTGATTTGCAAGAAGCTCTGGAAGAGGTACAATCTGATAATACCAGGTCCCAAGAGGATATTGTCGAGGTATCGCGCAAATTACAGGAGGCGTATAAAGAAGAGGAAGATTATTGGCAACAAAAAAGTCGAAATTTGTGGAATACGGCAGGTGATCGTAGTACGAAATTCTATCATGCGTTGACGAAACAACGGCGGACCAGGAACAGGATTGTGGGTATTCACGATGCGGAAGGGAACTGGATAACGGAAGAGGAAGGGGTGGAGAGAGTCGCAGTCAGTTATTTCACGGAGTTGTTTGACACAACGTCACCAACGGAATTTGAGGAGTTTCTGAATGAGATTTTACCTTCTATTACGCACGAGACGAATCTACGTTTGCTCCGACGAGCAACGGAACCAGAAGTAAAACAGGCCCTCTTTATGATGCATCCAGAGAAGGCGCCAGGTCCGGATGGAATGACGGCTTTATTTTTCCAACATTCCTGGCATATTATAAAAAAGGATGTGGTCGATTTGGTTAATAATTTCCTGTCTTCAGGGAAGATGGACCCGAGGCTGAACATCACGAATCTATGTCTCATTCCAAAGACCGAAAGGCCCACACGGATGACAGAGATGCGGCCTATAAGTCTTTGCAATGTGGGATATAAGATCATTTCTAAGGTATTGTGTCAACGCTTGAAGGCTTGCCTCCCAAACCTGATATCAGAGACACAGTCGGCGTTTGTCCCTGGGAGATTAATATCGGATAATATTCNGCCAGAATAAATATATGGCAATCAAAACAGACATGAGTAAGGCCTATGATAGAGTAGAATGGGATTTTATTAAAGCTTTATTACATAAAATGGGGTTTGATTCTCATTGGATTAAACTTATGATGGAGTGTGTATCCTCGGTGCAATATCGGGTACTGTTAAATGGAAGCCCCAGGGGAAATATTATCCCGAGGAGAGGCTTGCGCCAAGGAGATCCACTGTCCCCTTACCTATTCATCATGTGTACAGAGGCGCTTATTGCTAATATTAAAAAGGCTGAGAGGGGTAAACGCTTAACAGGAATGAAGGTGGCTAGAGCATGTCCTTCGGTTTCACATCTTCTGTTCGCGGATGATAGTTTATTTTTTTGTAAGGCCCAAGAGGAAGAATGTAGTACTATTCTTAGTATTCTAAAAGACTATGAGAAGGTCTCTGGTCAAGTGATCAATTTCCAGAAATCTTCACTCCAATTTGGTTTTAAAATTGACGAGTCAACTCGCATGGATTTGAGGAATATCTTAGGAATCCACAACGTTGGAGGAATGGGCTCATACTTAGGATTACCAGAGAGTTTGGGGGGTCCCAAAACACAGGTGTTTGGATTTGTCCAAGATCGATTGTCTACTAGGGTGAATGGTTGGACCTTCAAGTTTTTCTCTAAAGGGGGGAAAGAAGTGGTTATTAAGTCAGAACTCACAGGATTACCAAACTATGTTATGTCGTGCTATAGGATCCCAAAATCGATTACCTCCAAATTAACAGGAGTGGTGGCACAATTTTGGTGGAGCCCGGGAGGAAGTACAAGAGGGATGCACTGGAAATCGTGGGATAAGATGTGTGTAGCTAAGGAAGATGGGGGATTGGGTTTTAAGGATTTTCATGATTTTAACACGGCAATGTTGGGAAAACAATTTTGGCGCCTTGTAGAAAGACCGGATACACTTTTCTCGAGAGTCTTCAAGGGGCGATACTTCAGGAATACTTCACCACTGAAATCTCCACGTTCTTACTCGCCTTCCTATGGTTGGCGTAGCATTATTTCTGCTAGATCTCTGGTTATTAAAGGACTAATCAAACGGGTGGGAACAGGATCCTCCATTTCAGTATGGAATGATCCTTGGCTCCCAACCACTCGCCCGAGACCAGCCATTTCAAATACTCAAAATTACGATCCGAATCTTACAGTGGATTGTCTGATTAATTCTCAGTCACGGACATGGAATTTACCGGTTATTAGGAATCTGGTAGATCCAGAGGATGCGAAAATTATTGAAGCTATCCCTTTGAGCAAGACCAGATTACTGGATAAAGATGGATGGCATTTTACGATTAATGGAAAATACACGGTCAAATCAGGATATCAACTAGAGAGGATATATCCGGATAGAGGAAAACCACCATTGGAATATGGACCCACTGTAGATCTGTTAAAGGCCCATGCTTGGAAGCTTCGCTGTCCTCCAAAAATGAGACATTTTATTTGGCAGATTCTAACGGGATGTATTGCGGTAAGGAAAAATCTGAGGAATAGGGGTATTCAGGGAGAGATACAGTGTGCGCGATGTGGAGCTGCTGAGGAATCGGTTAATCATGTGTTTTTTGAATGTCCCCCCGCAGTTCAGGTTTGGGCACTTTCTAAGATTCCTTCAGGGCCAGGATTTTTCCCAACTCAGGCTTTGTTCACAAATATTGATCATCTATATTGGAGGGTAAGACGTAAAATGGATGATCATCAGTTTGTATGGATCTTATGGTACCTTTGGAAGGCAAGAAATAATAAGGTGTTTAGTAACATTGATGTACAACCTATGGATACCCTCAAGTTAGCAGAGACGGAGTCGATATTATGGGAGGAAGCCCAGGTATCAATTCAACAAACTGATCAAACGGTGCAGGAGAGTAATGAGACAGGGTTACCACATATACCGGGCCGTTGGTGTTTTACTGACGGATCGTGGAAGGTTAATGAGAGGTTTTCGGGACAAGGGTGGTATAGTATTCTTCCAGGTTATCAAGGTTTGATGGGGGCACGGAATACGAGACCGTCTCTATCGCCTTTGCATTCGGAGATGGAAGCTCTCATATGGGCAATGGAAAGTATGCGAAATTTGCGCCAGACACATGTCACTTTTGCAACGGATTGTATTCAGCTGGTAAGGATGGTTTCTGCACCAGAGGAATGGCCAGCGTTTGCAAATTATCTGGAGGACATCAAAATTCTTCAAGAGAGTTTTCTGCACTCAAGTCTCATTCATATTTCAAGAACACAAAATACAAAGGCGGACAGTCTAGCACGTAGTGCCAGGAAGCAATCGTCTTATGTCGTTCATATGGATGCGGAGTTACCATTGTGGTTTGCGGAGTCTGTTTAGAGTCTGTTTTATGTTGATGATAAAAAAAAAAAAAAAAAAAAAAAAGGTACACTTGCCTAAATCTCTAAACCTCATTTAATTATAGGAAGGTACTGTTAGGCAATTCTGGTTAATTAATAAAGGTGGCAACGTTTTATATTCAATGCTTCTCATGGCTCTATAAATACCCACATGCTTCACCACAAGCATCCACACTTTAAAATCAACAAAATACAAAAAAAAATTGTCTCAAAGAGCTCAAGCACCATTATTAGCCTCATCATCATCTTCCTCATCTTCAGCCTCGCTGAGGCTGACATCTTCCTCTCACCTTCACCAGCTAACGGCTTCGGTACATGTCCTAGAGACCCGTTACAAATTGGTGTGTGCGCCAATGTCCTTCGCCTAGCCAATATTATTGCTGGCGACACCAGAGCACAGCCGTGTTGCACTGCTATCAGTGGCCTTCCGAACATCCAAGTAGCCGACTGCCTCTGCTTTGTCTTCAGGCCACTTCCTTTGGTTTACGCGATCGATCAGGCGGTTAGAACAATATTTTTCGCTTGTAATATGGTTTTTCCTATCGGCTTTCAGTGTCCACCACCAACAAGATCGAGGCCTTAATCTCACCTGATTAAAACTAAGAACTCTATCCAGTAATAGTTGCAACGCAAGTATGCTTGCTTATTCATGTTATGTGTACGAATAATAATACTTGAAAGAAACTGGTATGTACTAATAATAATATAAAATAAAGTGTATTACTTTTGTCTTGTTCCCCTTTTTTTCTTTTAAATTCGTTACTAGGTGACCGGCCCGCATATATACAGATTCAAATTATGGATTTAATAATACAAAGTTTTAGAAGTAATAGATTTTATATCATAAGACCACCGTCTTTGAGGTAAAGCATCAGGCATATAAAAATGCTGGTACACATTTTACATGGAGGAGATGAAACAAAGTAACTTCAGTATCAATAGGTAGTTATTGTGTGTATTTATAATTGCAACAGCACAAAAATTTTGTGTGTTGAAGGTTGAATTTTATTTTCCAAATCTGAAATTAATAGGGTGTAGTCGGGCGGATGGTATAGGCCTAGCGAGTTAACAACTAATCGGGGAGTAATCGGAGATTAATCGGGGCCTAGTTTTGAGTTTAATTTTGATTTTTTCAAAATATGTTATATAAAAGGTTATTTACAAAATATTATCAATAGTATCGACGCGGTGTGGTGGTAAGTATCTCGTTGGGTAGTTAAGAGGTAGAGACTTCGAGTGGCTAACTACACAATTTTTTGTTTATTTTTGTCTTTTTATTAATGAAGGGTATTTTCGTAATTACAGCTTCGTCTTCTTCCTTAAAGCTACTAGGGTTTCTGCAAAAAGCCAAAAATAAATCCGCGGCCGCCATAGATTTTTCACATTTTCTTCAATTCTTTTGCGTTTCTTCCATGACTAATATACTAAACTTATAGATTAGTCATATATGTATCGAGTTCGAGCTTCATAAAGACCAAAAACGATTTTTTTAAAAACAATTCCGCCTACTTCTCCGATTTGGTCCAAATCGAAACGGTAGAGCTCCGCCGCACGTTTAATCGCCGCATAACCGGCCGCGGCGGCCGCGTTTTAGAACATGGATTATCACTAATTAGAATTGTATTGTATATGTGTTGTAATTCTTTATTTTAGGTGAAAAATATTATTATACATAAATTTTTCGTAAAATGTATGTAGACAGATTAAAAGAAATATTACACATATCCCTCTCGCTCTCTCTTTCTCTCTCTCTCTCTCTCTCTCTCTCTCTCTCTCTCTCTCTCTCTCTCTCTCTCTCTCTCTCCCCCCCTCTCTCTCTCTCTCTCTCTCTCTCTCTCTCTCTCTCNGCCCTCTCTCTCTCTCCCTAGCTCTCTCTCTCTCCCTCCCTCTCTGTCTCTCTCTCTATTCTGATTTTGGGACAACGGAATTTAATTATGTCATTAAAGATTAGTACATTTGATACATCAATTCACTTTCTGTTTCAGTGATCTAATAAAAGTTATAAGACAATACTATGAAAAATAAGATGTAATAAAACTGAAGAACTTATACGACAATAATGAGAAAATGCTTTTATTATTAATTTATAACATTACAATAACGCGAATTCCACAAAAGTAAAACAAAAAATTCTATTAATAGAAATTCTAACAAAAGCCACAGCTTAACCAATAGAAGAGTATACTATTGATAACATGTTCAAAACTTAAACAACGTCAATGAGCTTCCGTTCAAAAGCATGATTGATTCAATCTACTCCAAGTCTGAAAGAACATGTAAAAAATTATATTTACCCAAACACATTTTCTAATGAAGTTTTCTTTTGATAAAAACATGAGTTTACTTGGTTTATCCGTATTTTTTCTTTGGTTGCATAATATATCTTGTGATAGTTTTTTCCAAGTAGCATCCCAAACGTTTTCTGGATTTGTGATACTATGTGTTAGTAATAGGACACAAAACAGCTTACGTAGATTGCCCAATAACATGCTTCTTTAATAACTTCAATATTTTCTTCATCATGGTCCTTGCAGATAACAGAAGAAGTTATTTTTTTCTAAAAAACGTCATTAGATTAAGCTTTGAAGAAAATAAGCAACTTAAAATGTAAACCATAAGAAAATGTAAGATATATATAGCAGTGTTGATATGGTTGCACGATAAGTTAGTATCAAATAATATATTCGTATTATTTATTACATTGTTTTTATTGCTATATAGATGTTTTGAATTTAATGCGTTAACATAAATCATTCTTAATTATTACCAATCAATCTTGTGAATTTAATTTATACAATACTCCCTCTGTTTTTAAAAATTGATGTTAGACTTTTCACATATACATTATTAAGAAAAATCATTAAATTTTAATTGTAAATGCATTGTTTTTATGAATAAAATTTTTCCATTTTGGCCAATATAAATTTAATAAACACCATTAATTTTTTTGAAACTTACTATTTTTCATTAAATCATACATTGAAAAAGTAAAAAAACAATCTTTTTGAAATTTGATTTTTTTTCCAGAACATCAATCATTTAGGAACGGATGGAGTATATGTTACGTGATGTTGTAATCATCATTAATTGGTAATCATTAATGTGATAAATGTGGACATATTTTTCATTCAAAGCAAGTTGTGAGAATTAAATAATAAACAAGTAATAATATAATTGTTAAATGACGATAATAATAACTATAAAAATGACCTTATTATATATTGAGATCTGAAAAAATAATCTAATAAAAATATAACTAAAAAAACAATAACGAGTACATTGACTGAATAATAACATGTTATTAGAACGAAAATTAGATAATTTCATCTCTTCCAACAGATTATTACTAAAAATGAGTGTTATTACAATGAAATTATTTTAAAAATGTCATGAGCACAAGAAAAGACTTAATGTGTTTTTCTTTGAAATAAATAATAATGAATAACGCGGATAGTGACAAAAGACTAAATGTGTTGTTCCTGGAAAATATTCACAAATAAATATTTTTAAAAAAGTTCGAGATCACTTGCCCTTGGTTTTTTTGTGGGAATTTTTTTTTTTGACAGAGTGTTGATTCTCCAAGGTTACTGTCATGACCTCTTGGTTTTTTATTTTAGAAAAATGAGTTCCTGAAAAATCACCACGAAAGGAAATATCACCTAAGGACTGCAACATCATGACCTGCAAGAGAAATAGTTCATCTCATTAGTATGCTATCGTAACTATAAACTCTAAGCAATTATAAAGTGCAATACCGATTAAGGAGGCAAAGTAGAAAATATTAATTTTTATAATAAATATTTAAACTGAATAAAGAAAATTATTAAATCTACAATATCATAAGCTGATTTGAATTAAATATTAGTCTTCTTGTGCAAGTTATATTAATTTAAAATAAGGTATGAAGCAATTTAAAGAAATATATTAAAAAATAAAGCTCAATCAGCAAACCAAAGAAATATATATGTATATAAAAGCTTATAATTCTAAACAATAATATAAATCTACTAATAAAAAAAAAAAGTATTGGCAGCACAAAAAGATGCTATTGAAATGATATAGCTGAGAGATGTTATCAAATAGAGAATTTTTTTTACCAGATTGAGGAACAAAGATGTTATCGAAATGATATATCAAAGAGGTGTACAATCAAATCATATTTAGCTTCAGTGGAGAAATCGTCATAATAGGATATCTTCATATAAACCAAAAGAAAAATCAGCTCTCATGAAGTATAAAAGCTTAGTGTTCTAAAATAAGAAGAAAAAAAAAGTTTAGAACATTATTAACATAAAAAGTTCAAAATACAAAGTTCAATGATTTCAGTTCTTCTACTGTGAATGTCATTTTTATAGTAAATTGATGGACGTTTCTCAATGATTTAGTTTGCATGATAAGCTGAGAAGTAACATATTCTCTAATAAATTCTCAATAAATCTTATACTTATAAGGTAATATTATTTGTGTGTGTGTGTGTATGTATCGTTGAGAGTGTTTGGAAGCCTAATAAGTGGTTCTAGGTTAACTCTTCCCTGCCGACTTTAAAATAAATCAAAAAAAATTAGCAAAAGGGAACCAATAGAATTAAGAGAATTAATCCAAGAGTGATTCTATGAGTGCCCCGTAAGCAGAAATCACTAAAGTGACTTCTCTTTTAATGTATAGGGGGATCCCCATATAGTATGTTAAAAAAAGCAAATTGAGGATTTTATTTTGTCAAGGCAAATTGCTATATTAGTATATGATAATATTCTTTCCCCCATGTGATAATACCATCCGTTCCATTTTATTTTTCATTTGTAAAAAGAAAATTTGATTCAAAATAAGTGTCGTTTTAAAGTTTCAATGCAGAATTTATTAGTTTTATCTATTTTTCTATTAGTTAAAATATGATTAAGTGTATATGTAATAGTGTTTTTATTTTAAAAATCTATAAAATTAAATGTTTTTTTGATCTGTATGCGCAATCGATCCAGTATATAAAAATTATCCAATCGTTTTTAAAAATCTATGATATTGTACAATCGACTCTGTTGAAAATCTATGATATTGTACAATCGATCCAGTATATAAAAGTTATCCAATCGCTTTTAATCGACCTAAATCAGATTAGTCTGGCCAATTTAACCTAAAATTACCTTATAACAAAATATCATCGATATTAGTGGATGTGGATAGGCTTATAGGCATAGTATTATCACGAGAGGGTGATGGAAATATTCCTCATGGAAACTGTAAATAAGACACTCGTAATTCGTCATCGGAAAATGCGCGATTCCATATTCTAGAATCATGAATGAAGCATGGGGTTTAATTTTTCATTTACTGCACGCGGTCCCGAAAACTAACTAGTTATCATCTTTGGAGAGAGTTGTCAACTTGCCATCGATGACTTTTTTTCCACCACTCTCGAGAGTGGAATGACAGTTTGTCAAGTTGTCATCGACGAGCCTTCACTTTTGCGATTTTATTTGAATGGAGAGTTTTAAGTTTTTGACTAATAGTTTTTCGGTTTCACTTAAAAGAAAAAAACTTAACTCTCCAACGATAGCAGGATGAAGATGACAGATGGAGAACGACCAG